GAATCCTGATGCGCGAACAATGGATTGACAAAACACTTTATGAATATTAAAAGCCGAACCTTCTTTTATGAGACGAATGGTAATATAAATTTAACAGTTTATGAATATACATTTAATAATGAATATATTTTGTGAATGTTTTCGATATTCTACATTTATGGTATATATTGAAGTGGCTGTACTTATGGGACTTTTTTAGATAAACAGAGTTCCAGTGTGAATCATTTACAGAGTTTCGTGTGGAAACAACTGGTTCGTTGCACGCGACGGAGTTTTCTGAGTGTGATTCATTTTCGACGATCATCCGGTTAACGTAGATTGTGTTGGTGATTAGACCTGGCCTTTCGATCACGCTCAATCGTTTCATAGAGTTAAGATCCAATTTGAGCAGAACCTCAGGTCTGGTTCTCAGTATGGGCAACGGTGTGAATCATTAGGCGGGTTGTTCTTTTGCAGGCGCTTAACTTTTTTATGAGATAATTTCATTTCTTATACATTTATGTACTGATTTCATCGGATGCACGATAATTTTTCTGCATAATTTGATGAGCATTAATCAAATGCGTGCAGACAATATGTGTGAGCATGGAAATGACAGATGCTGAATGGAAATTCCTGCAGATTTAGTGCGAAGACGGATTATTGAGACATGAATACAAGAATGAAAAAAATTTCGCGATATTTTTGCACAAGAATAATGAATTGATTGCGTGATGAAACCTCCAAAAAAGATGCTAGTAGTCGAAATTATAGCACTCTCAAAATTCTAATTTTCAACTTCACTACTTCAAATCGTCATTAATTTGCACAAAAAAAGCAAATTCATCCGAAGAATATACGCTGAATTTGCGTTGAGTTTTTTATACTTTCAGCACTAAAAATGGTCAACAGGTTTCTGCATAATAACTAGCACATATTCCGCAAATATCATTTGTGTCTTTCAAGAAATTCATTTCATACTCGAAACCACATAAACCATTATTCAAAGAAACATTCGTGTGAAATCAAGAAATTAATTGAAATAAAAAAATTCAAATCCGAATCATGTGTTCGAATAGTATCGAACTCTGACGAACTTTTCCGATTGCAAACTCGCATCGTAAAGTATCAATCGTTCCAAGATCTATCTATTCAACTGAATCTAAAAATCTAAAAATAAAACGCGTTTCAGCATCGTCCACTATTCTCTTCACGTTTTGATGCACATTCAGCACTTCAGAGAATGTGAATGAATGAATGCGGCGTGCGTGTTTGTTGAATAGCAGTGTTAACGAGTGTGTTAGATAGAAGATAGTTACACTATAAATATCTATACATTATACACATACATATAAATATATTCTATCAGTTCTATGTGTGTGCTATTATAGATGTGAAATGATGTGTGTTCGTTCGTTGTGTATCTTTTCAGTTTGACGTACGTTCTCTGCACACCAGTCTAATGGTTTATGTGCAATCTGTAGAGGACTATTTTATATAATTGATTATTATTCTCGTTGTTGTTGTTATTGTTATTATTCGTTGTTGTTTTCCGTTATCATCATCACATAATTGTTGCTAGATTCTTAGCAGCACTGTTATCCCCGTTACCTTGCGTTATAATTATTGTTCTCAAATTCATATCATGCTTATTAATGATTCATATCATTATTATTGATGATGAATTATGGTTTATCAGATAGATTTCATATCGATGCGTTATAAATGATGTATGATTCCATATAATCACCCAACAGTGTGACGCTTTATCTCGTACTTCGTCTCCGTATCAAAGCTGTCAATTACTGATGATCTCGTCGATATTCTCATTTCGTTGCGTTTTAGTTTTTCGATCTGATTCGATAGTCCTTTTGTCACATAATAATTCATTTTTCCGTGTTTAGTGTTCTCCATCACGAAGGTTATTTTATGCCGGCGAACTAACGGACTTAGCTGAACGCTTGAACACACGAGATGGCAGGTGTTTTCGACATTGGTCAGTTTCATTTTTCATTTCCTGCTTCTTTTTTTTCATTTATGTAGCGCATTTTTCAGTAGAATTTCCAAAATATCACGATTTTATTGATATAATTTTCGTGACAATAAGTGATTGTTATGTTATGAAATTGAAACCATATCGTTTCCATGGGTATATACCAGAAAATGACACCATGGATGAAACAGACCGTAGAAACATCCAAATCTTGTGAAACACTCAGATTTGATGAGTTCAGTTGTGCTCTGAAATTCTGATGATTTCGTTTTCGTATGGCCCATTCACAGCGTGATCTTCTCGTGTAATGTCTACTCCAGCAAAATTACATTCCACTCGTAATAGTACGTAGTATAAGAGCATTATTGTGACTGTGACGAATTTTGCATTATTGAAGTGGTTCGGTTGGAAAAGTTTATAGATTAATCAGTAATGTGTCTGTCGTAAGTAGTTGTCTGGATGCTTTGAGTGGTGATTGTCTGTTTGAAGAGATACGTGCGTTTATCGATATTGCTGCTTGATCTGTTATCGATTTATTGATCACCACATTCGAACGTAATGATGATGATTATGAACAAGAACATTTGTGTTCTCTTCGAAAGTCATTCATTGTCAGAATTTTAGGATCAGTATCTCTTTTGCATTTAATTTGCAACACACACTTATATCCGTTATTATTCACCAGAGTTTCACATGCTCACAATAAATTAGAGAGCCTCCTCAAAGACTTCCCAGATTGTTCGAATACTCCTTCCTTTCTCATTAATTTAAAATACCTCAAAATTGAAGTTTTGAAATGATACAAAATCGTATGACTAAAGCAGAAACGAATTCTATTGAGAAATCTTTAGTTATCGGAAAAATTAGCGATTAATTTACGAATATTTCAGAACTCAATGACCAGAACAATGGCCGACTGCACGATGAGGATATGGATGAGGATAACGAATATCTTCACGTGGAATGTGTCAGTCGATTTTTTTTTGAATCGTTTTCCTTTTTGTTTGTTTGTTTGTTTGCATTTCTCTATTGGAAAAATTAATTTTCTTCAAAGTTTTTACGACGACAAATGAATTCTGTGAAAAAGTAATCGATCAGTAGTTGAAGTGCAAAGTGCACCATTGAAAAAGCTTGCTTGAGTATTCACAAAGTGCTCACGGCATCAAATCTGCATTGTATCATCAAAGATTCATGAACTTATTGAAAGTTCATTTGACAAGTTTTGAGATTATTCGAGATTATATGCAAAGAAAATGTTTTTGAAATTCAACTCACAAGAATGAGAGTTCTAAAAATCCGAATGAGTGAGAACACTAAGAGGATTGATTATTGTTTGTTATTCGAAATGATATTGGTGAATTGCAATCAGTTCGTCAAATTGACTGGAATGTTATGGCCGCTGAAGTGTCGGTTTTCATTGATTTTAGCGAAAGATATGAAGGGAACGAGCTGCTGCATTTGAGAATATTTAACAATATTCGGAAATATTATGCAATCGAATGAATAAATTCGTAGATAAATAAATACACACGTATATCTGTATCATCATGAGAACGTTTGAGAATATATATGTGAATGTGTGTGTGTGTATTTAACGTGACAACAAAACTGGCCATACATCCATTCCTCGTAGCACAATGCTCTTCTATTGATTTCATTGAATTGAATTTATTCACTGACGAACGAGGGAGGGTTTCTTTTCATTTTAAAAAGCATGTGCACTTAAACAACGTCATTATCACCGTCATTACAATTTCGTCAATAGATTTTTAATAGCACAACATGGTCGCCGGCATAATATTGCATAATAATTATTCTATAATGTGACGAATTTTGTTTTCGCTAGACAATCTCAATTTCCACCATTCTAAAGTGCAACAAAAACGAGTTGAGAAATTAGGCTGATGTCAGTTCGAATGAATGACGACAGAGATATTTTGAAGTTTCCAAGAATACGACAAAGCTTAAGGGAATTGTCGTCACAACGAACGCGCATGGTAATTAAGTTGAGTAAACGAAAGAGTCACTTTCAGCGATTACGTAATGCATTTGAAGAACAATTACTTGATTGTTAGCGATTAATCAGTAATTGAAATGGAAGATTAATGAATGATCAATTGAAATAATTTCGTTTACAGGGACATATAACGGCACCACCGCCCAGCTCATCGTACATGTAAGTTTTTGAGATGTGAAGAATGTTATGAACAAGATCTTTGTAAGATTTTTGATTTTGAGCAATTTATTCGTGCTTTCGTTGGTGCGTATTTCGCTTCATTCATTTAATGGTTTTGGATTGAGTGATAGAATTGTTTTTTTGTTCATTTGCAGGGAAGATCCATTCGTGGAAGCGATCGATCTGAGTGAAACAACCGTAAATCCTCCAAACACTCGTGTAGGGCCAGAAAATTTTGAATTGCTCAAAGTATTAGGTAAAGGTGGTTATGGTAAGGTAATCTATTTTTGATTATTCCGAATACGTTTCCAATCGTTTTTATTAGATGAAAAGTTATGACTATAACAGATCCGTTTTTATCATTACTTGTCATCTAAAAATGATAAATTTATTGACGATGGCAGATTTTTGAAATCTTTTTAAAATTTAGGTCTTTCAAGTAAGGAAGACTAATGGCAAAGATAAGGGTAAGATATTTGCTATGAAGGTGCTCAAGAAAGCGACAATAATTCGAAACCAAAAAGATACTGCTCACACGAAAGCCGAGAGGAATATCCTTGAAGCTGTTAAGGTTTTGCTTTTTTCGTATTAATTCACACTTCGAATTTTGTCATCCGCCCAAAAAAGGATTGTTTGTTGTAAAAGGATGATTTTATTGTTGAGATGTTTTCAAAAGCTAAATTTAAAAATTGTTAATTGTAGAGTCCATTCATATGCGATCTTCTTTACGCGTTTCAAACGGGTGGCAAACTTTATTTAATTCTTGAATACCTGAGTGGTGGTGAATTGTTTATGCATCTTGAACGTGAGGGCATTTTTATGGAGGTTTGTACTTTTACTCAATCTTTATTCACGACGTTTAAGTTAATTCTTGTTATTGCATTTGTATTTGTGAGAGAGGTTCATAGTTGGTGTTATTGTGGGCATATAATTGTTGAGACATAGCATCATTGTCTATGATTATTGATGTCGTTTGAATTACTGGTTTTAATAATGAATATTCTCATGGATGATTAGTGTTATTAGTGTGTAATGCTTGTATTAATCGTGACTCTTGTGTGTTGATATTATTAGACATTGTGATTGCTATTATTATGCAGAATCATTTCACGCGAATTTTGCAGGACACAGCCGCCTTTTATCTTTCTGAAATAGTCTGTTCATTGGAGCATCTTCATCGACAGGGCATTATTTATCGTGATTTGAAACCAGAGAACATTCTTCTCGATAGCAGAGGTAATTGGCCATTTAATTGCTCGTATTCAATTAGCAATTGCAAAAAAAAATTTGCATTGCATGATTCCGAACTGAAAATACTGAACATTAACGAGAGTACAATGTGACATTATTTATAAATCATCAGTAGACTAATGTCACTTTCGAAACTATATTATATTAGTTGGCTTGAATTAAAATTAACATGTTTTATGAGCCTATAAACTTTTTGTTAGTATGTGCCTGGCGATAGTGTACTCATGAAAGAAAGACTGTAAGGATTAATTTATTGATCTTTCTTTTAATAGTGTGATGTATGTTTGATAATGGTACCATGCGTCCAATAAGCGATCGTTGATTGATATATAATGATTGTTTATTGATTGTTATATATTGACTCAAAGCTCATTGATTGATTAGTACATATTGATTGATCATTGACTGCTATACATTCACCCAAAGATCACTGATTAGTGTGTGTTTTGAACACGTATATTGTAACGTTTATATGTGTTTGGTACTGAGTAAGAACAGATTGGGTATAGCAGTAAAGCAGTCACGACAGATTGATTGCTGGCTTCGAAGGATTGGTCGTTTTGAAATGGTGTCACTTCAGGACATGTGAAATTGACTGATTTTGGTCTATGCAAAGAATCAATCGAAGGTGATCAAAAGACACACACGTTCTGTGGAACGATCGAGTATATGGCACCAGAAATCTTAATGCGGGTCGGACACGGCAAAGCGGTAGACTGGTGGAGTCTTGGAGCGCTTACGTTCGATATGCTTACGGGTGGGCCACCTTTCACGGCTGATTCGAGGTGTGTGTGTGTGAATAGACTTCGGTTTTGTTTTTGAGTCGATTCAAGACGAATAAGAACTTGTTTGACTATGTGTAGAATTTAGTTCCGTTCGAAAGAAAGAATTCGAAAAAAATTTTGCAAATTCGTCGAAAACATTTCATTCGATTGCACAACTTCTCTGAATACGGAAAAATTCTGCAGCACTATGCTGTTTACTAGGAGGGTGATTGATGATAGTGTGGTTCTCTGAGCATTGATGATAATTTTTCATCTATCAGAAATCAAAAATGATCGGAAACATTTGTCATGTTGCTGCGAATAATTGTACTGAGAGAAGAAGGTTAGTGAATGAAACGGAGGAAATGTTTGATCAGTAAAGAACGGTTCCAGTGAAGCGGTGATTGTGGTAATTTAACATGAAAACAAATGGGAAGAATGGGATGGGAAAGAATGCATTTTTAACATAACATTTATTGTGGTAACGACAGTTTCGTTTCAGTGATCCATGTTGATGTTCCAATTTGTTGGAAATGATTAAGAAATTTGATTTGATTTAAGAAAGAAGACAATTGATAAGATTCTGAAGGGTCGTTTGACTCTGCCGGCATATTTGAGTGCCGAAGCACGTGATCTTATAAAACGTCTTCTGAAACGACACGTTGAGACTCGTCTTGGGGCCGGACCCGAAGATGCACTCGAAATCAAACGTCATCCATTCTTCCGTTCATTCAACTGGGATATCGTCTATGCTCGTCAGGTGCGACACCTTATTCGATGTGATACTGACTTGATGATTGATATTTTTGGTANACGTTTGATTGTTTCTTTTTGATTATTCTCAGATGGAACCACCGTTCAAGCCGAATATCACATGCGAGGAAGATGCGTCGTTATTTGATACGAAATTCACCAAGATGACACCGGTGGATTCGCCATGCGAATCGAATATTTCGATGTCAGTGAATCCTTTCGAGGGTTTCACCTATGTAGCGCCGAGTGTTTTGGAGGATATTCAACGACCTCCGACGCTTGTCAAGGCTAGATCACCGCGCAAGAACTGTCATTTGTGAGTGAATGTCAAATTTTTTTGACTTATCCAATTATTTCATTACGCTTGTCAGCAACATTCGTATTATTATCATTCGGTTCGAATTTGGATTGAATTGAAGTGATGAGATGTGGTAAGGTGTGTTAAGAGGAGGACTAGTTTGTTTTTGTCCTATCTTTTAGTACGAATCCGTTCGGCTTCACTGACGAGGAACCACCGACAGCAGCCGGGGCAATGGATGAAGCAATGGATATGACAACGACACCGAGGTAAGTCTTAATCACCAGTCACTTTTTTGTATTTCACCGAATTGCAGTATTCGTTGAAATGATGATGTAGAAATGAAAGGAAGTGATTGGTAGTTTTTAGAAAAATGGAATGATCCAATGAATGTTAATGAAGAGCTGTAGAACCATCATTATGAATGTTTAGGGTAATATCTGATTGAGAGTTTTGATGCGGTTAGTGTAAAATGCTTCTTCACTTTTATGGTGCACTTAAGCAGCGAATGACAATACGCAATTAATCAAAAGAGTTTTTGGGGAGAATATAGATATGACATTTAGGCAAAGTGAATGTACGCCGGCTGCACCCGTACCACAGCAGCCACAACAACGCCAACCACAATGGCAACGTGCTCAAGGTGGTGTGGTTCGTCCATGAGATTACCGTCATCATATCGTCTGTTATCACAACTCTCTCACGTTCATCGTTCGAAGTTATCGTATCGCTGCTCTTCGACAAATCCATCTCGCTTCATTCGCCGGCTCCCATATTTATTCGCTTGTTTTTTCTCCAAATTCTCCCCAAATGTTTTTCGTTATCTTCGTATTTTATCCGGTCCTCTCGAAATTTCAAATTCTTTTTTAAATTTTTTATTTTTTCATCAAATTTGGAACGTATCTATATAGTACTCAAACTTTAGTTGTTGTGCAAAAAAAGCGTCACTTTATCTTTTAGATTTTGGTCGTAGGGTATTAGTAGTACGGATTGAACGTGGAATAACTTCTGTTTCATCGTTGGCATATATCGCATCTTTTGGTTTTGGTTTATGATAATTTATTTTGAATTCTTCTTCGAATTGCTTTTCTGAGAGTGCCTTCTGTTTCGTTATCCACTTTTCGTTGTTTTCTTCTCATTCTTTTTGCGTTTATGCCCCGGCTTCCCCTTGTTTTATGGTGTGATTCAAATACGGCTTGATTGTGGTGTTTTTATCATTCTCATCAGAGATTCATTGTTATTGTTGTCATCTTATTATTATTATCATTTTTATTTTTATTATTCATTATCGCGTGAATGTTTTTGTTATTGATTAGTGATATTTGTTATCATTATCATTTATATTATTATTAATTTTATTATCGCTACTGTTATTATTATCGTATCAATAATTGTTTTTTGGTTTCGTTTAATTGAACCTAATTTATTTTAGCGTTTCATAATGTTCTAATTCATGATTCTGATTGAAATAGATGTTGATTTTCGATTTCTTAATATAATAAGGTCGAATGTTAAGGTAGCAAGTTAAAAGGAAAGCAGATATGTGTGTGTGTGTGTGGGCATATGATGTACGTATGTACTGCACTTTGACGTATTGTTTTGTTTTTTGTAATCGATTTTTGTTGTAGTGATATGATGATAATACTATTTGTTGGATAATTTTATTGAGTCTTCCCTCTCGTCTCCTTTCTCGTGGACAAATTATTGTGTGTTGTTCAGTGAAACTATTCCTCGAAAACTTGGTAGTATCTTTCTCTATTGAATTTTATCTTTAAAGTGCAAATGATGGTGTTCGTCGTTCCATTTTTTTGTTGTATTTCTTTTATTTTGTTTGTTTTTTTTTTTGTTAATTTTCGTTTCATCGATTTTCCTGAAAAGAAAAACGTTTTTTTGGTTTATTTTTGGTTTTGGTTTTTCTGTCGTCTAAATTCACATTGATTTTGTTGGTTGTTCAGAGTGGAATCCGTTTTGGAGAGTAGGGAAGGAAGTGAATGTTTGAGACTACTACTCACAACAATTCAGCTATTGCATTCGTTATTGTTGGCTTCTTTCCCCGAAAGATAAAAAATATATCAACGATTATATCATGAAGTTTTTGTTGCGTCGTACGTCGGTGGAAGTTGAGAACAAATGCAAATTTTATGAACGTCTAATCAATAAAATATCTGTTTGAATTCATCATTGTTTCACTTCATTTCGAGCACACACACATACAGAGCAGTGAATTTGTATAGATGAAAGTAGTCGAGATGTATGGACTCGTTTAATTTTCGATTTTTTTGTGTTTTTATTTTGGAACATCAGTGAGAGTTATATTGGGATATGAGCTGTAGTCGAATTGAGTTAGTGACAAGACGATTTGATCAATGCTGTGAAATATGAGACGTTCAAGTTTCGAACAACAACTGCTTGGGGATTACGTAAGAATATATATGTATGTATAAGAAAGGTCGAGTCTGAAGATAGTTGCAAAGGAGATCATTTTGATGAGAAATACTGGACCTTTATCAGTTACATTATTATGATAATGTGGTATTGGTAGGATTAGGGATGAGGTCGTCGTTGAGGTGGTGGTCATCGTTCATTGCGTTTTTTCTTCTTCATTTACCTTCAAAAAAATTTCATTGTTTTGTTTCTAAATGTTTTCTTTATTTATTTTTGTGAATTTTGAATTTGTTTCCTTCTTCCACAATCGAAATTCAGTGCAATATTGAAGGAGTATGCATTGAATGGTATTATTGTCTTTTTGAATCTTTTTTCGGATATTGACCGTTGTTTTAGAGTTGATTTTATTGTTGATCGGATTTGTTTTGTTATATCATCGGATTTGTTTTGTTATATCATTTATTATATTTTACTTATTTGTTTTTTGTTCATTTGTTTTTCCAGATTTTTTTGTTTTTTTGAATCGACGATGGATGATCATTATCAATGATATATATTCGTCATCATTATATGATTGTTGCGTAACGTGCAGAAATTCTTCATTTAATGTTATTATTATGAATGATTACTTTTGTGAAGTAATTGTTGTTGATTGTGCAGCCGTCTTCATCCTCGTCCACGACAATACACTAGTGAGTGAATGCTATCATCGTCGCATTACTATGAGCAGATTTGAGCAATGAGTGAGAATTTTCACTGGATTTTGACGAATGAAGAAGAACATTCCTTGGAGACAGTTGAAGAAGAGTCTTTTTCTGAGAACTCTTGTGACAGCAAAATTGCTACCCGAAGGAATTTTTCAAAAGAATGAAGACGAAAAATTGTTTTCATTTCAGATACTCAGAGACTCTCATATTGAGAATAATGAAATGTTGTTGCCGTTATTCTTTGTACGATCATGTGTGTCTCTCAAGTGTCAATTGCACTGAAGGTTTCATCAATAAAAGCTCAGCAAACGAATTTAAGAGCAGATGGTTCTGAATAGAACGAACCATCGAATGGGTCTCAAAACAGCATAAGTGTCTAATGATAATTGGGGGAATGAAAAAAAGTATCGTCATGAAGAAAATGGTGTCATCAAAAAAGTATCAAAATGATATTCCTATAGAAGTGTATCACTGATCACATCACAAAGATCAAAAAGGCAGAGTTGGGCGCAGTTATAGAATCGTTGAAGTAGTTTCACATATCCTCAGAAAGTCACTTATATCTCTTAAATTGAGCAAAACAACACATGCTGACATATCCTCAGAAAATCATCCGACAACACATCATTCCGAAAGATGAGAATTCGCTGAATCCGATTTTACCAGCAAACCGTAGTGTTGTGGGGCAAACTTGAAGGTAAATGTAACTGGAAAATGGTACTCATGCTCGCAGTACAGTAATAAAATTGTTCTCAATCAACTAGTGACATGACAGGCTTAACTGGGCTGTATCTAAGGGAATTATGCAAAATCGCTCGACAACATGTATACTTTCCTGAAACTAGGGAACTCCTGAAGTCCATTTTGAAAAGCACTCGCGGGCTACTGAGCAAACCTGATTGTGAGGATACAGATAGTCTGAAAATGCTACACGTGATATTCCTATGGAACTGTATCATTGATCAGGTCACAGAGATCAAAAATGTGCAGTTTGACTGCATTACAAAGTGGCTCAAATATCTTCCGAAAATCAGCTATAACTCTTGAAATAAGCGGAATCTCCGACAACGTATGTGATATTTTGAATACTGAGAATCTGCTGAATCCCATAGTACCAAAAAACCATGGTGTTGCCAGGCAAACTTGAGGATAAAGGTAGTTTGAAAATAGCACTCATGACAGCCCTATGAAATCGCTCAGCTGAATAACATATCTAGCTTAATTGAGCTGCATCTAAAGAAAGTATGCAAAATTGTCATTGATATTTAGGTCTGGCACAGATCATTTCCCAAGTTACTTTAATCTCTTTGCATTTGTTCACTACAAGTTCCCTTTGTAGCCGTGATATTAAAGGTGTTGCATGGCCACCGTTTCGCCGAGATCATGGCTCATCGCTGCGAAATCATTCAACATAATGTATACAATGAATGCAAATAAGACATATATTTTGTGAAAAGTTGTCAAATTATGAAATAGCGATGTATTGAACATGCTAACATGAGATGATCAGTTCAGCAGAGAATAAAATGAAGAAACAAATGATTTGGATGGCATACTGAGATGACCAGTTCAACAGAGAATTAAATGAAGAAACAGCAAATGATTTGGATGACATACTGAGGTGATCAGTTCGGCAGAGAATGAAATCACATTAAATTCAACACCAATTA